ACAATCCTAGAATCGACTCGAAAGCACACAAAAACACATAGAAAAACACACAAAAATACAATAAACAGTCGACACCCCTCTGGCCTTACGCTCGAGCAGCAGCTGGTCGAACCCCCCATCGACTTGACCTCCATGGGTCGATCATGTAGCCCTCGCATGGCCCGAACCTATAGCCGGTCGATCACGTAGTCCTCATGTGGCTCGACCATGCAGTTGGTCGAGCATGTAGCCGGTCGGTCTTTCGGCTTACTCGGCCTGACATTATGAGTCTTTACTAAACCGGACCGGGTTGATATAATAGTCCCTATCAAAGGGTGTACTGCTAGTGAATTACTCTTTCTTACAAATATTGCATAATTATAATATAAATTGTCATAACTTTGTTTGCATAATTATAATATGAATTGTCATAATTTTGTTTGTGTTGCACTTCAAAGCAGGGGCGTAGCCAGAAATTTTTTTAACCTGGGGCTGCATATTATTGTAGCTATAATTGAAATCTTGTAGACATGGTCATGGGCCGACCCAGTATGTCGGTTTGGCCCAAACTGACACAAGCAGACCCGTTGACCATGGTCTTGAACAAACCCGTGGTTTGACCAGTTCGGTTCATGTACAATACTTTATAGTTTATACATTTTGAACATTCAGTTTTGGTTCCGAACTGGAATCGGAACACGAGGTTCATTTTTTTAAATATTATTCTAATTATTTTGTATTTTTTTAATGAACCGGACGACCAGTAATCGACAATTCAATGAACTGACCCGTACATATGTTCGCGTCGGTTCATGCTCCTCCAACTCTCGGCCCGGTATTGACGGTTTCGGCCTGTAACTGGTTTTGGTTATGATTATAAACAAATTATCTGCTAACATATGTCGGTTTCAATTGGGAAAACTCAATCTCGAATCGCTTATATATTTAAACAAGCCAAACTCAAGTAGCTAATCGAACTTGTCGATCAAACAAATAAAGTCGAACATGTTTGCAATCAACTCTGTACGAGTTTTCTCTTTGTCTAGGAAATGATGTCGAATTAATTATTAGTGGCGAAAGAAAAAAAAATGAAAATGGATAACAGACTGTGGAATGAGACGAATCGAATTAAATAGCCCGCTGGAAATGTCTGTGTCAAACTTAATTATCCAACTCATTTGATATTTGTCAAGTCAACCCATTAAAAATTTAAAGACAAGAGTGTGTTGGGCCACATTATAAACTCAATTGATAAAAATCTAATAAGGTCACAATTGTCATTTGACAATAAAGGATTATCTTTTTTTCTCACTATATACATCATTTTTCCACCATTGTTATCAGATAACAAATTTTAACATGAAGATAATCTTGATTCATTCAGCCCAAAAATTAAATGGGGCTATATAAAAAATTACATGGGGCTGATGGGTCTATGTATAAATTTTTTTAGAAAATAAAATTAGCAAAAATAAGGGTAGCAAAAAATTACATGGGGCTGGAGCCCACCCTAGCCTTAGGGTGGCTCCGCCCCTGACCGTCCGCCGTCGCCAACCACCGCTCGTCGACACAACCTCACCACGCCCGTTTTTGCCGACACTAGCCATGTTAACGCCTCACCTGCCGTCGACATCAGTCACTAGATCCAACCAGAAGCCGCCGTCTGCCATCACGATTTTTGTCGCCGATCCCCCCCGCAGCCCGTCACCGGAGATGGATGCGACAAAGAGTGCCCCGGCATA